AGAGAGAGAGAGAGAGAGAGAGAGAGAGAGAGAGAGAGAGAGAGAGAGAGACAGAGACAGAGACAGAGACAGAGACAGAGACAGAGACAGAGAGAGAACCATGATCAACCATGTGATCCATTTTGTGCAGCAGAGGCTGAAGTAAGTAAGGCATATTTCTTTTTAGTGGAAGATCAGTAAAGTTTTAACAAGTGTGAAGACTTTTACACCATATCATTATCCCATTCCCCCAATAACTTGCATGGACTCAATTTGAGATTGTTTCTCATTATTTGGAGGACATAAAGTACTTCCTAGTCCGCTTGTCTGTGGTATAATGGTTACACTCTTTGCCATTGCAAGCAGAACATAGTTCAATTCCTGTGTGAGTAAATCTTGAATAAGAAGAGTTTTACTGCACTTGCAACACAATTAGGTCGTATTGATCTAAGAGCCGAAAATAAGAGATGTTACAAGAGAGTAACAAAAAAAGGACGAGAGATAAGGAGGATAGATGTTTGATAGGAAAGAAGGAACAAACCACACCCCAGCACCCGCCAACCACCCACAGTGGAAGTCTTTTTATTAGCCCATCCGTAAGCCTGCAGAGACACTGCATCACACTCATCCAGGACTGTCCCTGACAGGCAGAGTAAAAGCGACCTGTCTCATCTTAATTGTGTTGACGAGGGGGTGAAACATTCTACAATCAAATAGCTTTTCACCTTTGGGTCAAATCTGGAGACCATGTGCAACGGCGTCTCTTTGTCAAGGTGGGTAGCCATGTTCACATCACAACCGTTAGTGATGAGGAACTCTGCAGCAAACTCATCACCTGGTGCATAGTACAAATACTGTTGTTTGACTTTATCTTTCAGCATTCTAACATCATTTAACCAAACAGTAAAAAAAAACACATTTGCAAGGAACTATGCAATTTTAAAAAAGGAAAGAAATCATAACCAATTGGTGTCCTATACGTTCGTTCATTCTATTCAGTTCCATTTAGATATTTAATAGTTTTACTATTTCTATGTAGATATTTTGCTTCAGGTTTCTGGCAATTAAATGTGGAAAGCAATAAAATGAGTTTCGAAAAGAGTTTTCAAATCGAGAAAAAAGTGATGAAAGATAGATCAGGAACCATTTCTCATTGATTAAAGAGCAATGTACTCTATACTCTATACATAGATCTAGATCTAGTCTTCTATCCCGGGTAGGAACTGGACATAAGTGATTAAACCTAAATGACTCAAACCAAAATATTTTTTCAATGAAAATGTGTTTTCGCATAGGAAAACATATTTTTTTGCAGTTTGGTGAAGTTTCGCGTCTATAACTTTACAAATGGCTAAGTTATTCATATCTGAGTAACCCTATACTTCACTTAGTCAGAAAAAGGCCGGCAGCTCCATTTTTGGGGAACTGATACTCAAGTGTGAGGCCGGTCCCGTAGGTGTTAAAGAGAAGTATGTATCACAAAAAGAAAAAAACAAAAGCCAGAATTAAAAACTTAATTCACCTCTTTGTATAGCTTTGTACAGTAGACATTTGCCAGAGTTATCCTTCCTGTTGACGTCAGCTTTGTTGGCCATCAGTGTCTGTGCTATGCTGCGCTGCTGAGTCTTCAGGGCAAGGTCAAGCGCAAGTTCACCTTTGTTGTCAACCTCATTCACTTTCACTGACAACTGTGAGAAAACAGACATAATTCACTCATTTTTACCATTAAAATTTGCAAAGACAAGCGTGAAAAAAATATAGTAAAAGACCAACTCCTCACAGCTAACTTTCAATACAACTGTGGAAACTTGTTTAAATGAAACACTTTTTACACTTTATTTTCACAAACAACTGAGGAAAAAAATTCAGCAGTCACTAAAGAAATGAGCAAGACCAAATTCTACAGCAAACCAAAGAATTATTTTAAAATTTCGCGTGAGTACTGATCATTTTCAACTGACCTGAGCATCAAATTCAATAAGATAGAGGAACACGACATCTTCCCTCTCGGTACGGATGGCAGTGTGCAAAGGATATTCTGTCTTGGTCTTAAACATCTTGTATAGCAGGGGGGCTGGCATGCTCACAAAGTCTTCCCTCGTGAACTGGTCCTGAGAGAGTTAAGAAACGCAACAAAAGAAATTAAAATACCTACCCAAGGAAAGCTAAAAACACAACAAAAGAAATAGAAACAGGTACTCAAAACGGGTAAAGATACACAACAAGAAAAATTTAAATACATACCCTAGGAGACTTAAGAAACACAATAAAAGAAATTGAAATATCTATCCTTGGAAAGTCAAGAAATGTAACAAAAGAAACACCTAAAAAGAAATTGAAATACCTACCTTAGGAGAGTTATTTTTTAAAAACCACAAAAGAAATTTAACCTACCTTACGAGAGAAAAGAAACATAACAAAAGAAATTGAAATACCTACTATAGGAGAGCTGAGAAACACAAGAGAAATTGAAATACCTACCATTGGAGATTTAAGAGACACACCAAAAAATACTGAAATAGTTACCCTAAGAGAGAGAATAAACAACAAGAGAAAAGTAAAAAGGTGCCCAAGAACAAATGCCCAATAGCATGATCTTAGCAGATCAGACTAGGCTTAGTAATGACACAGGCCAGTGCACACTATATTAAATTGACCTCTGCTTTGCTTCATCAAATTTGACCTGTGAGTCCAATAGAACCTATTAGTTTTAGTAGAGGTTTTACAGCGCTCGCAACTGCATAAGGTCATATGAGCACCAATGGGTGGATGTCAACAGAGAAGTCCTTACAGGGAATCAGAATTACTCTGCTCACCTCTCTAGCTTCAACAGTACAAAGTCTGCTTCGACTATCAAGGCACCCCGGAAATAGCTGGTCTCAAGAGTGTGTGACAAACATACAAAAGAATTGGAGGAAAATGACGATAGTAAGGATTAGGAAAGAAAAAGCAGCACTTCCCTGTGGTAGTTCAGGCACAGTTATGAGCATGACATTGTTGGACCAGCCCATTAACAATTCTACTGTACATTAGAACGAGAAGTGTCCCCCTTTTGGGAATGGCCTAAAGACACTTCAGTCAGTGGCACCACCCCGGGGGGGGGGGGGGGGGGGTATAGAACCTATCACATTCCAAGCACAAACAAAATATCTGATGCCCCAATGACATATGACACTTATTAGTTTTGGAATTGGCTGCTTTCACCAAACTGGACCTGAATACGACTACAAAAATGAAGAAATGTTTAAATCGGGAGAATTTGACAACACTGTGCCAAAATGGAACTTCTTGCCCTCTGACAATCCTCAACAGTATCAAACTATATCAAATAGAAATTCAACAAAAAAGTTCTGCAATGCACTCTGAAAAAAATACTCTCGTTGAATTAAGAAACCCAACAAAAAAAATTGAAATATGCACATTATAAGAGCAAAGAAACCCACCATAAGATGTTTAAAATATTTGCCCTTGAGGGATAAGAAACACAAGAAAAATTGAAATACCTACGGAATGTACTCAAACTATTACTTTGTTTAAGTGAAGCACATGGAATCAGTAACCATCAAAAGAGAAGGGAAATGGAAGACAAGAGCAAAGAGAAATATCTGAGAGAAGGATAAGAAGTAGGACCTACCAGTGACACCCTGCAACCACTAGCAGATGAATAGTGATAACATGGACAACAGTAATGACAATGACAACAATAATCAACAACAGTATTAATGAAGGGTATTTTCACAATATGCAAAATGGACCCCTTTACTTACAACACTAAAAAGAATCTCTCTCTCTCTCTCTCTCACATACACACGGCACTGAAGAGGACATACCCAGTGGTTAGAGATGAGCTCCGAGCAATGTTTCTTCAACACCTCTGCCTGCATCTCCTCCGCTGTCTGGTAGAACTTTATACAGTTCTTTACATTTACAAAGGACATGAGCCCATTTTCACACCTGATGGAAGAGGGAAAGGGGGGTATGATCAGGTGTGAGATCAGGTGTGAGACAATATTGACTGCTTAAAATAGCACCATACACCATTCTGAAAAGTGATGTATGATGGCGTCTAACACTAAGCAGTTGATATGCACTTCAGTCAGTATCTGGTAACCAGAAGATAAAAAACAAAACAATGACAACTGATAAAACACCTAAATTAATTTCAAGGACTTAGGGTGTCAGATAAAAATAAATACCATCACTCCACTACTACTCTAGTTGGAAGTGTCAAGTTCACTCATAAAATATCTCTGATAGTTTGTCAAAACAGTTTTACCTCTTCATTGTTTCAAACCAAAGCACAAAGGTCATAGGGCTTTCCATTGATTTATAAAATACAATGGCAGTACAATGACCCTGTGACTCACACTCTATAAACAACCTAAGAATAATTCTTTTCCTTTCACTGCCTCAACCAGTAAATCTCTTTGGGGTGAGCTTTTATGGGATTGTGTTCTATTGATCTTGACATTGTTAGTATTCAGACAGCCTTCCAGTCAGTCTTGATCCACAGGACTGAGTTGTTGTTTTTTTTGATAACTACAGATTAATTTATAAGCATAGCTCTATAAGGCTTTGAAATCAGGCAGAGAGAGAGAGAGAGAATGTATGTTTTCTGCTATCGTGGCAGCTGGCTAGTTACAACAAGGATGTTTGCTTTGATATTTTATTGCTTAGTAACTTTTTACTTCTAAAAAAACATTTTTTAGTATGACTTGTTATTTTTGTTATCCAGAATTTTCTTAACTCTTTCCGGACATTATCTTTTGAGGGGTCTAGACATATTTAACTTGTGGCTCAATTTGGCTATGCAGGTGGTGTACAAAATAACTTCATAGAAGCATAACCATCACTCAAAACGTAACATATGAGATATCAAATTGAAGGAAATTGAATGAGGAATACATCCCAATATGAAACAAGGATTGATTTTGAACATAAGTATGCATTAGAAGGATTAGAAATGGCGATGGTGATGAGTAAAATAAATTTTGATGGAAAAAATTACATTCACCAAGCATGTGTAAGCAAATCAGCATAATTATCTTATCATATACAGGCCAAGAGCGTATTTCATAAATTTCTGAATGCGCAGCTTTTTATTAGAAAACAAATTCCAATTTTCCAATTTTTGTTTCAGTTACGATATTTATACTGAGTCCGGTTACATCGTTTTGTTGATGCAACACTGCAAGAACTAATTCACTTGTTTTTCCCCAAACCCACGCTTTGACAAAGTGAAATTAGATGTTTCCGTTCTCTAAATCCTTTCCGAGTTTTTCAATAGCAATAAAAAGTAATTATAAATGACGCATTGAGTTAAAACGAAACAATACTGAGGCACCCTATCACAGCCGATATATCGGCAATACGTCCGCAAGGGGTGTGGACTCGCCCCAATATATTGGCGATACGTCTGGAAAGAGTTCATCTATAAGCACAAAAGTTCTGAAATTTGGCACAGGTAGTTATTAAATGTTGTTATATTTAAGTAGCTGGTTGGACTGGTGGTATTCGAAAGAAAATTTCAACAACATGACTTTTCCTCCAAGCAAAACAATATATTTTCCATAAATATGAGAAGTTCCAACTTTCTAAATACTCCAAGAAGTACAAAAATCAATATTATAATATTTATGCTATCCAAAATTAACACAATATGATAGCAATAAAGCATTCTAAGTGGAACAAATAAGTACTCCAGAAACTGTTAAAAGCTTAAAATACCTATTTCTGTTATACACATTTTTGACATGGTTGCCATTTCTATAAAAACCAATGGCTACAACCACCCAAGCAACTCAGGAATCATCATCTTTTATGCCTAAAACATTATATAACTTTCGCAATTTTTACCCCATTTTTTTCATATGGGAGAAGAAGGAAATTTTTAACACCAAGTCTCCTTCAGTAAAAAAAAGTCACACTATTAAAACCAGAGAAGATAGGGCATTGGTGATGCAATACACACATTGTCAGGCAGAAACTTTGGTCCATTAAAGTGCCGTCTGTCATTGGAAAACACCATACACTAATGAGTAATTTTTGGCCATGTTGCCTATTGATAGACTTTGTAGCCTATTGATAGACTTTGTAGCCTATTGACAGACTTTGTAGCCTATTGACAGACTTTGTATCACTTAACACAGTTTGTTTAGTTCATAGCCAAACACAATCACCCACTTCACTCCAGACTGATGAAACTGTAAGAGTCATACATTCTATGATGGGCTGGATAATAAAGATAAAAATGCTTGCGGCCCTGACATAACTCGTCCTTTGTAAAACAAGCATCATAGGTTACTTAGATTTTTAACATCATTTTTAAAATTTAATTCTGAAACTAATTAATTCCTTGGATGCATATATATATATAAATATGTCTTTACTTTGATCAGTTACAACAAAAGATAATTTCCGACAGATAGTGATGGATTTACTCAACTCTGATATTCAGAATCACAACTCACAGAATCAAGAAAACAATTTGAAAAAATATCTAAAAACCTTCCAGCATGACCACGAAAAAATAAAATCTTACAGAATAAAGAAATGAAAAGAAATAATTTTCTACAGAAGCAACAATCAAATACCACTTCAACCAGTGAACCACAAACAGTTATCTACGTTTTTGGGTTATAAAGACAGATTCCTCTGCTGCATTCCATACCTGTTTCGCAACTCCTCAAGTTTGAACCTTGTGGCTGCTCGTAGGAGCTCTAGTAGGAAGGAGTCCTGAGCTTTGATGTTTATCTCATCCGTGTATATCCATCGGATCAAGGCAAAGGCTACATCATGACGGATATCTTTAAAAAAAAGATGATCAGACAGTCAATATTGACCAAAGAATAATCACTGTTGTCACAATTCATTTATGGAAAAATATTATTCTGAATAATAAGGTGAGGACTTTCTTTTTCATTAGCATTTAACTAATCATGCACACTTCTATGTGACCTCCCTTATATGACCTTATTGTGTTGCAAGTGCCGTAAAACACTTGTTAAAGCTAAAAAACTTCAATGTGAATCAGTGTAGAGAGAAAACATGTGTGCGTTTAGTTTTGATAAATGTTTTAAGGCACTTGCAACACAATTAGGTCACATAAGTGACAAAGATTGGAAGTGTTACAAGTACAAGAGAGTAACAAACAAAAAAGAAGTAGGGGACATTAAGATGATAGATGTTTGATAGGAAAGAAGGAGAAAAACCACACCAGAGCACCCGCCAACCATCCACAAACATGTGTGTGTGTGCCTGGTGAAAGGTACAGTACGATGCATTTTGAGGAACAGCATTTTATTCTACTTTCTAGTACAAAAATAATTCCTAAACAAAATTTTTTTTGATTTTTTAAGATAGGTTCAGTACTTTGTGAGATCTGGTTATTATTATTATTATTATTATTATTATTATTATTATTAAAGAAAATGCTGAAATGATCGGCCAGCTGTATTGTTTGTCTCTAAAACCCTTAACAGCACTGCTAATTTTGATCAGAAATATCAAGTCTTAATAGTTACTGAAATACCATGAAATTCATTACATTCCTTTTCATTTGTCTGTTCAACAAAAATCAGAATTTACAAGTCAAAATAAAAATTTAAAAAAACAGGCAGTAAAATCTGCGCTCTGCTTTACACATAGTTCCAGGCAAAATTTCTTTGGAGTCAGGAAGTAGGCCTACCTGTCATATTCAGCTCTGCAACTGTGGAGAGGTCCGCCACACCCCAGTCATCACTGCGGGCTGAAAGGATGAACTTGTGGGCCTTCACGTCATGGCCGCCCTCTAGCTGGATCACCAGATCACTGAGGAAAATATCAAAACACATTGATTGTTTTGACAACATGTGTTTTATGAGAACTTTAAACTGTCAACAAAATTCAGATTGCACAGGAAGGGGAGGGTTGTTTTGAACCTGCATGTCAGGGCCAACCTAAGCTGAGCATCATGCATAAGTAAATACTCAATTACATAACTTCCCCACTCGAGAATCAACCTCAAGTCTTTTGCATGCAAAAAGGAAAGGTCTAGCCACTGCACCACAGACATCAATTTAAAACAAAACTTAAACAAACACCCTGTTTCCAAATGTTGGGTCAACTTTGTGCATTTTTTTCAAAGACTTAAGTCACCACCTGTTCCCTTCATGGAGGCACATGTAAATGTAAGGCTTTTATACAACTGTTTGTCAAGGTGAAAAAAACATTGTTATAAAGGCGAAGGCACAGCTGAATATGTCAGTAAACTTTACATTATAACAATAAGCTTACAGTTTTTAACAGAGTAACTAATCTTGTTTAATTAAAGTTACATCATATTTTAAGTAAAACCAATTCCTTGCACCGTAAACTTATTATGTTTCAATAATAAATGGTTAAATACCACTACAGTACATTCTTTTTAATGAGAGACTGCCAGATTTACTTCAAACAATTTTCGAGATCATCATTGCCCCATCACTAATAATTATAGAAGAACAACTGCAACTGGAGTGATGTTTATCCTAATATTGCTCAAACAAAAAGTACCTGTATTGGTCTTTGTCAAAGAGGTCAGCAATGAATTTGAGAAGTCTGGACACAAATCCATCCTGAGCTTCTCCAGTGCCGCCTGAAGCAGCAATGGCCACTTGATATCGCCTCTCAACATCAGCCAGTCGATTCTGCAGCTTCACGTACTCTTCCCTCAACAAACTTAGATGGTTCTGAAGTTTACTAACTTCATCTGTTCATAGAATAAAGTTCCAACAGCGAATTAGGTCTCATCAAATTCTAAAGAGAATAGGAATATTAGCATTTTAAAAACTGTTGTACTACTACATTTTAGTGCACAAAACAAAATCTGAAACTGACAAGATATGATATTTTGATTTACTTTCCAAGGATGCTTTCCTTTTTTCAGTCGATGAAAAAATGTTTCTTTTATTATCTTTTTTATTAAGGATGTAACAATATCTTGTGAGACTGTCCAACTTCAATACCATATACTGATAATAAAATTGAAAAGAAGTAAGAAAATCATGAAATAATCAAATGGCATGTTATAAAACAGCAATATTTAAAATGCAGTGGTCTCTGTCTTCGAACCAATTCATTGGGAGATGAAAAAAAAAGTGAGTTCTTATAATGGGTTTCGAGGGGAACAAAACAGCACCTCTATAGGGTTAGCTTCCCAGGTTCTTCTTTGGATTACCTTATATGATGAAAGATTATGACTTATTGGCAATACTAATGTCCAAGGAAAGATGAAAGATTACAATGAATGTGTGTGCACATGCTCCTGAGTGTAGTGTGTTGTTTCGAGTTCTAGTGAGAACCAGAGGCTTCAGGCTTCTAGTGAAATACCATGATGCAACACTTGTAATGTTACGATAATTCGGTAGCTTTAGAAACAGAACCAGTAGCAATACTGCATATATAATAAATGAGGAGAAAGAAGGCACCAGACACTTTGAGTTTGATTAAGTAAGAGGTATGTACGGATACGTGATTGAACCAGTTGAAAACACATAGGGCTATATATTAGCGATTGACTAGCATGACAGAGTTCATGTAGAATGCAAAAAAAACAAAAAAAAAACAATTGGACATGTAAGCGTGAATGCAGTGAGTATTCATCATCCACTAGTCCACAACACCCCCATTCCTTCACCGGCATACTTAGAGTTCTTCCCTCTTTCAAGCATCCCCAATTGTAATTTCATAAGGTAGGCCTAAAGCAGAATGGTTAAAAAACTTGGAATACCCCTAGCTCAAACCAGGTTCTTTCACCGATTTCTATCTCTAGAATGGGTTCTCTGGCCTGAAAATTATGGAGACAATAATACTATGACATAGAGCTTTTAGTCAGATTGGCTTCTTGCACAGAATATTCTTAGGCAGAGACCATTTACAACAAAGACTTAATTAGCTGTTATAACAACCACCACCTATCCTCATATAGAATCAGTCCCCAACTCCCATGAAATTAGTGCAACAAAGAAAGAATCCTGGTTGTACTAGTTTCATGGGAGTGTGGGGCTGATATATACGTCCAATTCATGGTGCTACAACTGCATTTTATACGACATACGCACTCTAGTCCCCTTTAACAATACAAAAGTCGAAAGCATGCCCTGCTAGAAAGTGTTTGGAGAAAGTTGTGCCCCAAAAGTAGAAGCATCGAAAGTTAAACACAGCAGTCTCCACCTAAACTCACAGTGCTTGGGAGGACTCCTAAGCTTGCGTTTACATTGAGCATGTGTTTACGTGAACCTGTGCAAAAGGGGAAAGGGATGCAACCATCTCATTTCCATAATATTTTAGTGACCTCCCTTGGGTAATGGGGCATCGCCTTTGCCGATAGTCATGTCATAGGAAAGAGTGCTCGGCCACATGGCTTTCCAAGCTATCGATCCCGACTGCCTGTCATATGTATATTGCAACTTAAAGTTTAACATCAAACGTTTTGAGAGACTTTTGTCTAGTCTAGAGGTTATACAGTATACGGATAGGTCGAACACTGAAGACTCGAAATCACGCATCCATCGAACTGTGCCTGCTGTCCCATTTTTTCTTTTTCTTTATATCTTTGTAAGAAAATTATGTGAAGCTTTGGTTGCTGTCTATGCTGCCTGCCTTGGGACTGGAGACAATAACTTTTCAATAAGCTATGATAGATAGGGCTAAGCCTAGGACAGTACTAGCCAAGGGTAGAGAGGTGGTCCTGTCTATGCTAGGCCTACGCCTAGATCTAGATTCTAAGTCTTTAGAACCAGAAACTACTTTGAGCAACCGCCCGTAGCCGTAAGTCAGCAAGCAACAATCCATCGTGCAAGATTAAGAATGAAAGTGAATTTTGCTAGATCTAATCTAGATCTAGATCTAGATCTAGATCTAGATCCAATCAATGTGAAAAAATATATATACGCTGAGAAAGCTGAATGATAATTTAGTATTCTGTGATATCCACAGTGCCAGGAGACAATGACAAGTGACTAGAGTCTAATTGAATATCTAGAGATCTAGCAGACTGTTCACTGAGACGGCAAGGAAATACAAACAACACCAACAGTCCAACAGTAACAGAGTGCCTCCTTGTCTTTTCTAAGTGACGAAGGAAGTAAAATTAAAGGTCTATAAGAGGGCGTACTTTTTCTAATAGAGGGCGTGGATGGGGAAAAAAGCTAGTTGCTACCTTGAGACAGAAAATGACTAAGTAACTCTGAGGAAAGCAACCCACTGATCACACCCCTTTCCTCTGAACAACTTTTCTTACCATCCGCCATGTTTGCGAGTTTGATCATGTGACCTCATTGAATATGTCAAAAAGTCACCCATATTGTGATATTAACGAAACTGTTTTCTTTTTCCGCCTCTCTCTCT